TTTCGCCCGCGCCCCCGCATCGAGCCACAAGATACAAGATATAAGCAGAAAAAAAAAGGCGACAAAATCGTCTTAAGATTGCGAAGCATTTTGCAAAAGTACATTAACCTGTAATGCTTTTAGAGGATTCAAAACTTGGAATTCAACAACGATTTTATGGTTGTTTCTAAATGTAGATAAACATCAATCACCTTCAAGAATTGATCTAGGACCTTTCGTCTTCTAGCCACTTTCCTTTCAACTGCGCTACAGACAATACATTTGTAATGCTCTTTGTATTTCTTTGGCGTTTCTCTTTGCGACGGAATTTGAACTACACTAGGGTTTCGTTGTCCCCTTTCTTCTTTGTCTCTCCCACTCGTGAGTGGAGCCCATCAGCCCCTTACTCACGCTCCATCTACTGCTATGTCCTAAAGGTGAGAAGACTTCTAGCTTGAAGTAGAGATTATGTTAGACGAGCAATCTAGATTAAGATCTTCGTTTACTTCCGCATTTTGTCGTTTTAACGAAATAGTAGCTGCGAAAGCCTAAGTTCCAGGCATTTGTAAGGACGTCAGTTTTCCGTAGGTCGTTAATAAGGCTGCATGTTTTTTATCATTCCTTATCGCGCTCTTATGTCTCGCCTTACCTTGAGTTGCCTCTATTGAATTGCCTCTCTCTCTCTCTCTCTCGCTCTCTCTCTCTCTCTCCCCCTCTCTCTCTCTCTCTCTCTCTCTCTCTCTCTCTCTCTCTCTCTCTCTCTCGAACGGTCCTTGTATTAATATAGGCTTATAAGGGACAGCAAAGGGCAAAAGCTAAAGCAAAATCAAAAGCACAAGCAAAAGCACAAGCAAAACAGGCACAACCTGGTGCAACAATACTACCCCACCCACCCTACCCCCCCCCCCCCCCCCCCCGCCCCCCTTCCTACTCACTCCCCGGCTCTAGTGTTGCAAAGCAGTCCCCCGGGAACAACTCCCCCTCCAGCCCGCTCACAGGGGGGTTCTCAACTACCAGAGGAAAGAAGCCAGCATAGGACGACCGGTTTTGGTAGAGGTCTATTTTCTTGTCCGCCGCTTCCCTGGCCGCCCAACCCCTTCCCTTCGTGGCCTGCTCATCCCTCTTGCTGATTGGGTCAGTGATTGTTATGTCCCCCAGCCACACAGAGCCTGTGGTACGGTCCCGGATGGCGATGTCCGCTCGCTTGTTGTCGACCGGGCTGAACGCCGTTGTCTCCTTGTGAGTCATGTACCCCGCGTCCTGTGCCATACGGGCGCACTCATCACGTAGTTCGTTATGGGTGTTTGTGCGCCCACGTCCAAAACCGCAGCGGAGGAGGTGGTTAGGGAGTCTTTTATCCGGGATTGCAGTCCTGTTGTTGCAGTCACAGTGGCCTTGTACGGGTAGGGGCATTCCTAGCCGGAACTGTAGAGCGAAGGCAAAGTGCTCGGGGTTGAGGCGGAGGCCGGGCATGTATGGGATGGCTAACAACCAGTCAGCCAGCCTCGCCATCCCTGCACCCAGCACCTTCCCTCCTTGCCCCTCTCTGCAGCTTCCCCTCTCTTTGCCTCCCTTGGTACCCGCCCCTCCCCAGTAGCTGCTTCCCTTCCCGCCATTTCTCTCTCTAACGGTCCTTTGTATTGATAGGTGGAGTTCGGTACAAACATGCATATTCTAGGGCAGGGCATGTCTAGCATGAGGACTAGCAAACGGGGAGAAGCAACGGCAATACAAAACCTTCAGAACACACACCCCTAGTCCCTCCCCAACCCCCCCTCCTATCTAAGGCGCCTCGAGTGTTGCGAAACAGTCCCCCGGGTTCACCTCCCCCTCTGGTCCCCCTAGTGGGGGGTTCTCTGCCCTTGCCGCCTGGTTCAGCTTTGTGAGAAAGCTCACCGCCTGGGCTCTCTGGAGTGCGACCGACCAGAGCTGGCGGAACTGGTGGAGCATCTTCGCGGCCTGGTAGGTGGATGGGTCCGCGTTGAAGATTCTCCGTGCAGCTTTGTCCGCCATCAGCTTCAGGAACGTGGGCACCTCGTCACAGGGGCAGCCGTAGGTCTCTACCGCCAAGGGGAAAAACTCAGCAAACTCAGCCCTACCGTGGTAGAGGTCTATCTTCTTGTCTGCTGCCTCCCGTGCTGCCCAACCCCTCCGCTTCCTTGCTGTCTCATCCCGCTTACTGATGGGGTCTGTTATGGTAATGTCCGCCAGCCATACCGCTCCCGAACTCCCATCCCTGAAGGCCAAGTCGGCCTTCTTGTTGTCTACGGGGCTAAAGGCCGTGCACTCCTTGTGCACGGCAAATCCTGCATCCTGCGCCATGCGGATGCACTCGTCGCGCAGCTCGTTGTGAGTGTTGGTCCGACCGTGCCCCGTACCGCACCTAAGCAAGTGGTTCGGCAGCCTCTTATCCAGGATGGGGACCCGTTTGGTGCAGTCACAGCAGTCAGGCACGGACAGTGGCAGGCCGAGCCTAAACTGGAGGGCGAACTTGAAGTGGCAGGGGTAGAGGCGTAGGGAAGGCATGTAGGGGATCGCCAAGAGCCAGTCCCCTGCCCCATAGCCTGTGAGGGACATGAGGCGCTGGGTGTGGCCTAGCCGTGGGTTCAGCTCCATCTGTCTAGACGCGGCAATCTGGGCGGCACTCCGGCCCTCTTGGACTAGGAGAGCTAGGCGGTGCTGAAGTTGGCCCTTAGGTTTCGCCCTCTCCGCCGAGATCAGGTCCCTCCCCCCCTGTGTGAGGCTGTCACTGCAGTCCTTAATCCACGCCTGTAGCTCGTTGGGGCTGTGGTCGGCCGACTCTGTGCTGTCCAGTGCTGCTGCCAGGGTGGTCCCTGCTTGTCCCCCCAATCCGCCAAGCAGCGTGTGGGCTTGTACAAAGCTCGCCAGGAAGCTGTATCGGCCTTCCACAGCAGGGTCGGCGAGGCCCAGGCCGCCTAGGCTAGGTGGAAGTGAGGCCTGGTCCCAGATCCGGCCCTCCTCTGTCTCGCCCCTCGGGTGGCGCACCCCGCAAGCATCCAACAGCGCGTACAGCAGAGCACGGCCCCACTGTGACCACTCGGCCTCGGGAAGGAGGTACAGGGGGGTTGTGCGGGCAAGGTATGAGATGCGCCTGGAGATGCATCGCGTTAGCAGCAGCGATGCCACCTGTGGGTCCATGCAGGCTATGTGGGGTAGCGGGGACGACATAGTCTCTAGCTGAGACCGTAAGAAGGCTGCTGCTCCTTTCGTCGTACCAATGAAACTTCCCAGCACCCTCAGCCCCTCCGTGCGAAATGGGACCCCTTGGGGCAGCTGCTGGGGATCTGTGGCCGCTGCACTCCATGCGGCGCACTTCTCAGGGTTGTGGGTCAGCCCCACGTCGCGCAGGCCCGTTGTGAAGCAGCGGAAGGCGTCCGAACAGTCGGCTGCGGGGCCCAGGAAGGTGACGTCGTCGGCGAATGCTAAGCAGAGAACCGATGGGTAAGCGGCGGCCGTCTTTGAGAGGATGGGGTGGATCCCCGCGGCGAACAGCAGGGGACCGAGCGGATCGCCTTGTCGGACGCCTGTCTCGCTAGTCAGCGCCTCGCAGCCAAACCCCGCGTCAAGGAATAGATGGGCTGGTCGGCTATACGACGCTTTAACGAGAGGGAGAAGACCTTGGAGGTCGGTGTCGCGAATGGCGTCGACTATTGCACCGCGGTTGATGGAGTTGAATGCGTTAGCCAGGTCCGCCTGTAGTATAAGCGCGTCTGGATTAGCGCACGTAAAAGCTCTCGCAGCGTGGATTATCGCTTCACTACCGCCTTGGACTGACACGCAGTATTGTAAGGGCAGGAAATGCGCACGACACTCCTTGGAGAGGGCTGAGAGGGCAGACTTGGCGGCCAGTCGCAATATTCACTCCCCTACCGCTATCGGTCTCGTGCCTCCGTCAGGTTTAGCTAGAGCTATGAGGCGACTGGCCGTTAGCAGCGCGCAGACCTCGTCAGGTAGTTTGCCTCGCAGGATAGTGTTGACGAGGGCGTGGAGGTGTGTGGTAACCCCCGCGTTGGCCAGCGATGCATCACGCAGGTGTTCAAATGTCATACCCGACGGTCCTCCTCCCACCCCATTCTCGCAACGGCATAGCATTTTAATGAAGTCTCCTTTTTCCATCGACGCTGCTTGTACAGAATCGGGGATGTTCCAATCGATGATGCCAGGTGGCGCGGGGGGGTGTTTGGCTTTGAGAGCGGCGAGGATGGGTGCAGATGGGTCGGCGACCGGCGTTGACTCGAGGGCGAGGATCGCCCTGCGGAGACTTCCTTTTCGTGCGAGGCCTTCTGCCCTGGCACGTTTGCCAATGGCGTCAGGCGTATGGCGAGGCGGGTGTGGTCCAGTGATTGCGGTAACCGCCAAGTCGTAAAGCTGCTGCCATTCGCCTTTGTTGAACTGGCGAATCCGGCGTTTGACCGCCGGCCAATCGGGTTTTTCCGTTGACGGGAGGCGAAGGGTGAGGCGCGGGAGAAAGAGTAGCAGACGCCAGCCTGCGACTGACGCAGGGTTACGCGCGAGGTGAAGGAGGGGTGTCAGAAGGGCTGTGGCGAAAAGTGGGCGAATGTCTGCTGGGAGTTTTCGCGAAAGCGGGGGCTGACGACTGTCGCGTAAAGGGGTCAGGTCCCATAAATCCACTTCGCCGAACCGCGCCAGATCCTCAGCCAATTGCTCAGGCGAGAATTGGCGGGCCTCTGACGCGGTGGTGTTCGGTGCCGACCGGTGAACTTCGCCATCCTGTGCTGCTGGAATCGGTGCGGCTCGGTGAGGTGTTGGGTTTGCCCTACGCCTTCCTTCCAGTTCATCCTCTGCTAACTCCCCTGATTCCTACGTGGTAGACTCTTCCACCACCACGGGTATAAAAGTCGGATCTCTTGCTTCCTCTGCAGCTTCATTAGCATCCACTCTTTGAGTCAAGGCCCGCCGCGCCTCCCTCTGGAAACCGTTCTCAGGTCCGCCTCCCCGTCCAGTCGCTCCTCCTCGTCCGCCGCCCCGGCCGCCCCGCGATGGCTGCGTCGATTGGCGAAGAGTATTACTCGTACTCGCCGCGGCCCTTTGTCGTGGCGTCGGCTGCAGTTGCCCCTCCTGCCGTCTCGTCCCCGGTGCCAGCGGCTGTGGGGATGCCACCTCTTCCTGCCCCGTCGTCCGTGACTCAGGCCGGCCATGTCCTCGCGCCTGCTCCGCCGTCTGTTCCCGCCGTTGCGGCGTTGTCAGCGCCTGTAGTGGCGCCTGGTGATGCGCCTGCGTTATTGCCTGCTCCCGCGCTTGCCTCGGCGTCCGTTCCTGCGCCTGCCCTTGGGCCAGCTGCGGCGTCTGATCCTGCGCCCTCTCATGCGCCTGCGCCTGTGGTTCCTCCTGCTCCCGTGGGCGTGGCGGCGCCCGTGCCTGTGGTTGCGGCATCGTCTGCTGCTGCTGGAGTGGCCTCCGCGCCACCGCTGGTTGCGCCTGCCGTGGCGCCTTCTGCTGCTGCTGGTGCGGACCCGTCCTACCAGCCACCTCCAGCCACCAGCGCCGGCCCGAGCTCGGCGGAGGTTCAGTCTGCTCGCGCGACGCCTCCGGATGCTCCTGCCTTTCCGCCTGCGGCGGCGACAGTGCCGCCTCCGACCGTACAGGCGGGTCCTGCTCCCGCACCCCTTGCTCCTGGTCCTCCTGCCCAGCGTCCTGCGTCCCCGGGCCGCCGGCAGCATCGGCCGCAATCCCCTGTACCGCGTGACGAGCGAGAGACGTCACGGCGGCGTCATGATTCACCTCGCCGCCGTGGTTCCCAGGCGAACCGGGCTGCACCACGTGGCGGCCGAGGGGGCTGGTGGGGAGGGCGTGGTCACGGTGGCGGGTGGGTTTACGATCAGCCGGTGACAATGGCCGACTTGCAGCGGGTTGTGTCTGACGCGATGCGCGAGGAGCGGAACGGGCGGGTGAGCCTGAGCAGTTCGCCGCGCCATGATCCTGCGCCGATGTCTCATCCTCCGCCTGCGCCCTATGCGCCCGCTCCTCCTCTTCCCTCGACTGCCACTCCTCCTCCTCGTGCTCACGCTGCGTCCGCTGCTGCTCATGGGAACCGCCTCCGGCTGCCGTGGGTTCCTCCTGTGGCGGGCGTGGAGTTTGTGACTGCGGGCGGGGGACCAGTGACGCCGCAGTATCCGTCCCTGCTGCCCGTCGCTCCTGATCCTCCGGCTGCTGATCTGCCGGTACACTCGCTGGTGGGGCCTTCTCCTTCAGCGGATGTGCCCGAGGCGTCACTCGGGCAGCTGTGGCGCCTCTCTGAGGGTCTGCGGGCTGTTCACCTGATCCAGGTGTATTGCCACGCGGCTCTTTCTCGTGGCGTGCCTCTGGTAGGCGGCCCTCTGGACGAGTGCTCGGATGCCGCTGACCGGCTTGCCGAGCTCCTTGCGCCTGTGTTGGCTGCGCCCGCGCGGGGTGGAGTTGCGGGCGTTGGACAGCTTGGGACTGCGCTCCGTGGGCTGCGCCGGGCGATGCGCGCAGCGACTGCAGTCGACCTGATCGGCGCAACCACTGTGGTGGTGCGCGAGCTTCATCGCTCGCTGACGGGTCTTCTCGCCGTCCTTGACGCGGATCAGATGTAGTGTCCGCCTTTTCCTGGGTCATGTTGATCCCGTGTGTTGTCCTAGGCAGGTGTAGGTGTTGCCATTGTGTGTATGTCTTGAGCTATAGTTGCTTGTCCCTTCCTCCCTTGCCGTCACCTCGCGCGCGGCCGAAGGCCGCGCTGTCGAGCGTTGGCCGCCGAAGGCGGCCGACGCGAGCGTAAAGTTCGGCCACACCACTGAACAATGAGAGACCAGAGGCCTAGAGGGGCCTCTTATACTAAGGAACAGAGAGGGTAGAGGGCTAAGGGAGAGGGCGGAGGTAAGGTGCCTCTCTCTCTCTCTCTCGCTCTCTCTCACGAACGAGCGTAAAGTTCGGCCACACCACTGAACAATGAGAGACCAGAGGCCTAGAGGGGCCTCTTATACTAAGGAATAGAGAGGGTAGAGGGCTAAGGGAGAGGGCGGATGTAAGGTGCCTCTCTCTCTCTCTCTCGCTCTCTCTCACGAACGAGCGTAAAGTTCGGCCACACCACTGAACAATGAGAGACCAGAGGCCTAGAGGGGCCTCTTATACTAAGGAACAGAGTGGGTAGAGGGCTAAGGGAGAGGGCGGAGGTAAGGTGCCTTTCTCTCTCTCTCTCTCTCTCTCTCTCTCTCTCTCTCTCTCTCTCTCTCTCTCTCTCTCTCTCTCTTTCTCTCTCTCTCGTTTTTCTCTTTCGTTCTCTTTCTCTCTCGTTTTTCTCTCTCGTTCTCTCCCTCTCATTCTCTCTCTCTCTTTCATTCTCTCGTTTTTTCTCTCTCGTTCTCTCGTTCTCTCTCTCTCTTGTACTGTCTCTCTCTCTCTCGTTCTCTCTCTCCCGTTCTCTCTCTCGCGTTTTCTCTCTCTCGTTCTCTCTCTCTCTCTCTCTCTCTCTCTCTCTCTCTCATTCTCTCTCTCTCGTTCTCTCTCTCTCGTTCTCTCTCTCTCGTTCTCTCTCTCTCGCGTTCTCTCTCTCTCGTTCTCTCTCTCTCTTTCTCTCTAGCGCTCTCTCTCTCTCTCTCTCTCGTTCTCTCTCTCTCGTCCTCTCTCTCTCGTTTTATCTCTCGTTCTCTCTCGCTCAGTCTCTCTCTTGTTATCTCTCTCTCGTTCTCTCTCGCGCTCTCTCTCTCTCTCTCTCTCTCTCTCTCTCTCTCAAGCAGTCATGTATTGATATGGGTCACAAAGGTACAGGCATGGCAAATGGTGGTAACTAGCGTGACTAAACATGGAAGCAGCCAGGAAAACAGAACTAACAAACAAACCGAGCAAGCCCATCCAGCCAAAGCACACCGATCACCTAGCTCTCAGAGCAGCCCGGTCCACCGCAGCACAAGTCCCCGAGAACCCCACAATCCGCCTATCCCTTGTTCCTCCCATACCATAGGACCACCCCTTATCCTCCTTCACCCAGCAGCTTCCTCGCAACTTCCCTGAGACACCTTCCGTTCTCCCTGCCCCCACTGAAGCCTCCCCAACTCTGTATTCCTCTTCCTGACCCTCACCACGCCCCTGTATCCCACCCCTGCTGCCCCCCAGCCGCCCCCCTGCCACCGAGTTCCTTCCTCCCCAGCCCTCTAAGCCGCTCTAGCTGGTGCCTGGCGCTCCTCATACTCGTCCACCTGCATCTGCCAGAGGTCTCCCAGGCGGGGCGCCCAAGGGTCCGCTGCAGCCTGAGGGAATGCCGCTTCCGCTGCCCGGTTAGACTTGGAGAGGAGGGATGTCGCCTGGCTACGTTGGAGCATCACCGACCACCGCTGCCTGTAGTGTGCGTTGAGGCGGGCAGCGGTGGTGGTGAGGCGCCCCTGGCGGTACTTCTTCTTTGCCGCATAGGTAGCCAACATACGAAGGAACTGTTGAGTGTCAGTCGCCAACGCCCCGTAGGTCTCAACCGCCAAGCCGAAGAAGCCCACATAGCCAGGCCGCCCCTCGTAGAGCCTGTGCTTGGCCTGCGATGCCTCCTCCGCTGCCCACCCCGGCGGCTTCCGCGCCCTCACGTCCCTCCTATGCAGGACCGGGTCAGTCACCGTCACGTCCGTCGCCCAAGTCTCTCCCGACTCTTGGTCCCTGACGGCTAGGTCAGCACGCTTGTTCTGGACTGGGGGAGAGAAAGCGGTCGTCTCGTGAAAGGTTTTGTACCCGGCTTCCTGTGCCATGCGAAGAGCAGCGAAGGTCAGTGCATTGTGGGTGCGCACAGCATCCCCACCATCGGCACACCGTAGCAGGTGGTTGGGCAGACTCTTGTCAGCTATCTTGGAGTTGGACCGCTTGCAGGGGCAGACCTCCGCCACTGGTAGTTCCATGCCAAGGCGCAAGCCTAGTGCCATGGAGAACTGACCAGGGGATATTGAGAGGTCAGCCCTCGTGGGCACTGCATGGAGTCAGTCGCCTGCTCCCACTCCTTTCAGGCTGATGAGCCGAATGGCATGGCCCCGGTCCACCCCCGGCCTATCAGTTACCGTATCTGCCAGTAGCTCCTCCGCCCGCGTGTGATTGATGGCTTTGGAGAGCCCCAGCTGCAGGTTGCCCATACCCCTGGGGTTCTCTCTGTAGCTGTGTAGCACCGCCGCGGCCTGTGCTGGGAGCCTTGCCTCGAGCGGGGACAGCGGGTTCACCCGGGGGGGAGGTGGGGTCCATGTCGGGGAAAGAAGATCCCCGGCCCTGTGGAGTAGGTAGTCTGGCGGCAGGTTCAGCTGCTGCAGTAGAAGGTGCGCTGCTGCAATTGAGGCTAGGTACGCGGCTGGGGCCTCGGAAATGGGATCAATGATTCCCAGGCCCCCCAGCCGAACCGGGAGCGTTGCCTGGCGCCACAACAGGCTTTGCTCTAGCTCGCTCGGCGGGATCTGTAGCTTCGACGCCGTGAGACCTGCTCCCACCAATGCCTCGCTCCATTCCCTCCACTCCGTACGGGCCAGTGCCTCCGCCGGTGTTGTGCGAAGTAAGTACGAGATGCGGCGGGAAATGCTCCGCGATATCATGAGTAGGGCGTGCTGCGGATTGAGCTGGGCGACGAGGGGTAGCGGCGCAGCTGCCTCCGCAAGCGCCGCCCGGACCTGGTCGGTGCAGAAAGCATCGCTGCCAACCGGGCTGCCCAGCACCTTCAAACCACCTGGGTGGATGGGCAGGCCGTGTGGCAAGCCGTCCCCTCCTTCCTCCCGCACTGCGCACCATGCCGCAGACTTTGCCAGGTTGCACCGCAAACCACACGAAGCCAGCTCCGCAACGACCGTGTTGAAAGCGACGCACGCTGCTTCGCGGGGCCCCACGATTGTGATATCATCGGCATATGCCACTATTGCCACCTCCGGAACAGTTGAAGCCACGCCGAGCAGAATAGGCTGGATCGCCGCTGCAAAAAGAAGAGGTCCCAGCGGGTCCCTTTGGCGAACACCCCTGGAGCTTTGGATGTGCTCCACTTCCAGGCGGGGGTCCACTAAAAGCCGCGAGGGGCCATCGTAGAGGTTCCTAACGAGCGGGAGCAGCGGGTTGAGGCTGGACCACTGAAGGGCGGCTAGAAATGACGTGCGTTCTACGCTGTTGAAAGCGTTCTCCACATCCAGCTGTAGAGCTATGCGGGTCTCGTCATCTCGGAGTAGGGAGCGAACCGTGTGGATAATACACTCCGCGCCCCCAGGGACCGCTACGCCGAACTGAACGGGGAGGAAGAACTCTCGGATTTTCGGGCCTAAACTGTGTAGCGCCGCCTTTGCTACCACGCGTAGTAAAGCCTCGCATATTGCGATCGGTCTAACTCCTCCCCCGGGCTTCCCTAATGCTATGAGCCGGGAGGGGAGTAGAAGGTCCCGGACTTTTTGGCTCTGGAAGGAAGTGGCGAGGCGAGTAACCACGTTTGCGAGGAGCAGAAGGATCTCCTCACTCGCTAGGGCTGGGTCTCTCAGGTGTTCGAAACAGCAGCCTGAAGGCCCCGCTCCCACCCCATTCGGGCACTTCGCGAGAATCTCGCGAAGAGCTTCTAGTGGGATTCTGAGCTCAGAGTCAGTGATCCCGGTAACCCAGGCTGGCGTTGGGGTGCGAGAGGACGGGTGTTTCGCTCTCAGGGCAGTCAACGTCGCCAAATTCGGCTCGGCGAGAGGGCTGGTGCGTAACGCTGCAACTGCTTTCGAAATGTTGCCTTTTTTAACCAAACCCTCTGCCCTCGTGCAAACCCCTTCGTCGTCATTTTGGTGTCTAAGCGGAGCACCTGTGTCGGGGATGGTGCAAGCAGCTTCGAACAACCCCTCCCAATCTCCTAACTGGAACTGATGCAGCCGAGCCTCAATTGATGCCCATCGGCTGCCAGTGACTGGCTCTGGTGGTGGACGCAGCGTCAGCCTCGAGAGGTATAGCAGGATCGCCCATGCACCTGGGCATTCTGGGTTTGATGACAGCCGTAGGAGTGGCGCGAGGAGGCACAGGCAGTATTTGTCTAACACCTGGGGTGGTAGCCGTCTGACTAGGAACGGTTGGTCCATTCGTTGGAGAAGGTCCATGGTCCACGTGCCAGCTATCTGTCAGATGGCGTCGTCCTCTGCCAGGGTGGCAGGAGATTTCACCTCGTTGGCGACCGCTGCGGCTGGGACCGACCCTCCCACAGCATGGGATGTTTCTCCGTCCGCTCCCTCCCCTGTGCCTCTCGCTCGATTCCGCCCTCTTCCCACTTCCTCCTCGTTGTCCAGCGAAACCTCTTCCGACTCTGGGCCTGGCTCCTCTCCACACATAAAATCTGGATCCCCGTTCTCCTCAGCAGAGCCGGCTTCGTCCCCATTGGCCGCAGCCTCCGAAACCTCTGGACGGTTGTGACGTTCCCGCCACGGGCCTGTTCGGGGTTGGATCTCCGCTCCCCCTTGATGAGCGACACTCCCGCGCCCTCCCCCTCGCCTTCCGCGGCCCATACCGCGTAAACCCCGGCCTGCCGCCGGCGCCGATCGAGCCGTGGCCTCCAGTCCCGCTCTCCCCGCCGGCATCCACGGCGTACGGCCTCCCCTTGGAGGGCCCCACGTGACAGTGCCCAGTCGAGCCGAGCGATGAGTGGCAACGCCTTCTGCGGCTGGGGCAGCAGGGCTTGGCGGTAAGTGGGCGCCTGCTCCATTGTCCTGGTTAGAGGCCGGCTGATCTGCTTGGTGGGTTGCTGTCATCCCATGTGCTACCTCATTGAGTCCGGAGACCCCCCTTGCCTCTTGCGTATGCGCAGATGACGACCGACGCGCTCGCTCTGATGGCGGTTGCCCTTGCAGAAGCCAGCCCAGGAGGGGTCCCGGGGAGCCAGGTCCCAGCCCTGCTCCGGGCCGTCTCGGCGCTGGCTGGGCGCGCAACTTCTTCTTCGACTTCGCCTGTGCCGCGCCGGAAGAATCGTCGTGTGCGTGTCCTGGAAACTCACCCTCCGCCTGGGCGCACTCCTGCCTGTTCGCGGCCACGCAGTCATCACGTCTTCCGCCGACGGGGCTCCGCCCTGCTCCCCAGTCGCAGCAGACATCGCCGCCGCCAGCACAGCCGCAGTTACAGGTGCCGGCGACGCGGACAACACCACCTCCGCGGTCTGTTCCTTATCCGCGCCCGGACTTGGCTCCTCAGCCCCCGGCTGTGCAACCCGTGGGATGGCAGAGGGTGAAGTTGAGCCGCCGCCAAAGGCAGCGGCAGAAACGCCAGCAGGCACCAGGCCCGCCGCCGTCGCCGCTGCAGACGCAGCAGCAGCAGGAGCAGCCTCAGGCACCATTGCAGCCGCCAAACTGGGTGCCGCAGCAGCCACCAGCTCAGTCCCCGATATGTCGTTTCCCCCTGCCCCTCCAGCCGCAGCCGCCACGTCCCTCAATGCCCCACGTTCCACCGTCACCTCGCCTGCATGCTCCAGGCCCTCAGCCAGAACCAGCCCCTCCATCGTTCCATCAGGGCCTGTATGGCAGCCCCCCCGTGCCGCGTCCGTGGGAGCCAGTGACGCCTCCCGCCCAGCCTCCTCCCCCTGCCGTGGTTCCTGGTGAGCCCCCAACTCGCGTCGAGCAGCGCGTGATGCACGTTGGGACGTGCATGACGCTCCTGTCGTACGTGCTCGACCAGCTTCACGTGACCCTGGTGCAGCAGGAGGTGCGGATCGAGGCGATGCAGCAGGCGGAGCAGTCAGCGGCAGTGGCGGTAGCGGAGGAGTTGCAGCATTACCTCCCCCTGATTGGATTTGTGCCCGGTTCCCCTGGGGCCGCCCTCGGGCCCGGCCCTGGGGCGTTGGCACGGCTTGCTGATTCTGCCCGGGAGGATCCGCTCGACCTTGTAGCAGCAGCCGCGTCCGTCCTACGCTGGCTGGACGGGAGGCTGTGTTGGATCCTCGTTGAGTAGCAGAAGCCTTCCCCTTGCTAGCCCCCTTAGCAGCAGGTCTGGGTTTGGGCTTCCCCATGGCGGTGTTCTCACGCCCGGGGGTGTTGTTGTAGCCGTTGTTGTTCTATGCCTGCATGTTGTACTGCCCCATGTTGATATGCCAGGAGGTTTTTGGGGAGTAAACTGAACTCACCAGTGAAGAATGAGCTCAAAGGACTCCTCACTAGGTGCTTTATACTAGGAAAACAGCCCTGGAAACGACTAAGGACTAAGGACTAGGCAGGAGGGGGAGAAAAAACGGCTAAGGACTAGCCCCAAGCCATCTCTCTCTCTCTCTCTCTCTCTCTCTCGAACGAACCGCCGGTTTTTGGGGAGTAAACTGAACTCACCAGTGAAGAATGAGCTCAAAGGATTCCTCACTAGGTGCTTTATACTAGGAAAACAGCCCTGGAAACGACTAAGGACTAGGCAGGAGGGGGAGAAAAAACGGCTAAGGACTAGCCCCAAGCCATCTCTCTCTCTCTCTCTCTCTCTCTCTCTCTCTCTCTCTCTCTCTCTCTCTCTCTCTCTCTCTCTCTCTTGTTCTCTTCTCTCTCTCTCGTTCTCTTGCTCTCGCTCTGGCTCTCGCTCTCGCTCTTCATTCCTTCCTTCCTACCTTCCATACTTCCTTCCCTCCTTCCTTCATTGGGTTTACTGCTTAAGTTTGTTGCTTCTGTTTTCTGCTTCCGTTTCATGCTTTGGTTTTATGCTTCCGTTTTATGCTTCTGTTTTCTGCTTTGTTTGATGTGCCCTACCTTGCCTTGCCTTTCCATCATCCGTAGTTTTGTATTCTGATTATTCATGTTTACCACTTTTCGATGATCTCCTTTTCTCCTTTTTTTTTTTTTTTTTCTCTCAAAAATCTTGCTGATCAGGAAAACGAGTTCAATCTGGAGAATTTGTAGTTATCACTTATAGGATTTACCACATTGTCATTTTTACTTTGTTTTGCATGTTTTATATATTATCGTGGGTTTCCGGCTGGGTTTTTTGTTGTGCATGCATTTGGTTGTTGTGAATGTGTTTGCTTGTGTGAGTGTGCATTCATCCATTATTTCATTAACAATGCATGTCTGTGGGTTTTCAAAAGTTGAATCGGCTCAATCATTTTTACCCAAAGGTTCATTGGCGCGCCTATTGGGAGCCCATTTGAACTGGAGATGATAGGGTTGACCATCTTTTTAGAGTTTACAGATTGTGTTGCTTCATGTGACTGCTCATTGTTCAAATATTATGCTATCAGCTCCCCGATATGCTAGGCGGGGGATGCGGTAGCATAGTTTTTGGGTCGTTAGCTTTCACGCATCTTTATCATTATAAATATAGATGGATTGTAAATACGTAAACATTATTCATATCAAGGCATGCAATTATCATTTATCATATCTTACACAATATATCATGCTGATATAACTGAAGGATCGAAGTGGATAGGATAAAGTTGCCAAGTGTAAAGGAGAACTTTGAAGTCTCATTAATGACCTTGTTAATAAATTGAAAGAGAACAAGATGATTATAAGATAGGAGTACAAGGGTATAAATAGCATTCCTAGCTAGCCATGTACTCTGAGGGGTACATTCCCTTATTAACTGAATTGCATTGCTACAGTAACCCACGACTATTGCCATTCTAGACAGTTACCATGTTGCACTTCGCAACTGCCTTGTGCGGTTACCGGGTAGTCAAGGGTCACGACTGTTGACTGACTTCGACCGTTGACCTTCGGGTGACCCTTGGACTTCCGCGTGCTCTATATGAGCTATTGCGGTACTAGTAGAGTCGCACACTTCGTTATGAAGTGACGCGAGAGTGGAAACCGTCGGGAATGTTTATAATAACCTTTCGGTTATTCCAACACTCCCCTTCATTCCTGAAGGTGGGCCACGTGGGACTTCTTGGTGATCCCGCAAAGGTTGGCGCAGTGCTGGAACTGTTGACGTGGCAGTTTCTTTGTCAGAAAGTCGGCTGCCATGTCGCCAGTTGGGCAGTACGTGAGCTTGACTTTGCCCTTGTCGATTTCGTCCTTGACGAAGAAGTAACGAAGGGCGATGTGTTTCGTGCGGTTCACGAAGCCGGGCTTGTTTGCGATCTTGATCGCGCTTTGGTTGTCGCAGAGTAACGTGAAATGCCCGTTCATCGTCACTTTCGCTTCCTGCAGAAGTTCCATTAGGTACAGTCCTTCGTGAACAGCTGCGCTGGCGGCGATGAATTCTGCTTCGGCTGACAAAAGAGCAATGAGTTCCTGCTTCTGAGAGTTCCATGAGATGAGTCCGGCAGGTTGAAGTTGGAAAAGAAATCCTGTGCGGGAGCGTCTGTTGTCAATGTCTTCTGCGTGGTCAGCGTCTACGTAGCCGTGTAGCTGCAGGGTAGCCGTTAAGTTAGCTGCGTAGGTGAGGCCGACGTCGGGAGTGGAGATGAAGTATTGAAGTGCGCGGCGCAGGTCCTGTAGATTCTCCCCATCAGGTCGCTTCATGTATTGAGCGAGCTGGCTTGCGACGTAGGAGAGATCGGGCCGGCACGTGATGGCGGCAAATAGAAGGCACCCGAGCTGCTGCTGATAGAGCCGATGATCCTCAGGAGACAGAGGCGTGGTGTCTGGTTCGTGGTGAGGAGGAGGAGTGCGAAACGGGGTGGAGAGGTTGATTGGTGCGATGCCGAATTTCTTCGCGAGAGTTTCGGCGTACTTGGCGGCGGAGAGATGAATGGAGGTGGCAGACTGGGTGATGTTGAGACCCAGGAATTGAGTAACGTCGTGGTTGATGGTGACTTCCAGCTGCGCCTTGATGTCTGCCTCGAATTGGTCCAGTAGCTCTGTGTCGTCACCGGTGTAGAGGAGGTCGTCGACGTAGGCGACGAGGAGAATGAACTTGCCGCGTGACTGCTTCCGGTACATTCCGAGGTCGTGGGGCAGCTGTTGGAAACCGATTTTTGTTAGCACCGTGTGGAGGTACTGCTGCCAGAGGCGCGGTGCTTGCTTAATCCCGTAAAGGGATTTCTGGAGCAGGCAGACGACGCCGTCGGTCTCTTCGAAGGCATGCGGCTGCTCGACGAAGATAATTGCGTCGACCGGGGCGTACAAGAATGCGCTGCCGACGTCGATTTGACGGAGTGGGCGCTGCTTGATGGCCGTGATGCAGATGAGAATCCGCACTGAGGTGTGCCGTCCGACTGGTGCGTAGGTGAGATCGAAATCCACCATGTGCGTTTGCTCGAAGTCGCGGACCACCCATCGCGCCTTGTATTTGTCGATGGAGCCGTCCGCCAGCGTCTTGATGCGGAACACCCATTTGCCGCTGAGAATCTTTCTCCCCTTCGCAGATGTCCGGGGAACCAGCTTCCAGGTGCCACGAGTCTTGAGCGACGCGACCTCCTTGGCCATGGCTGCTTTCCACTTCTCACTATCGGGGCCGGAGAGAGCCTGGCGAACAGTGGTGGGTTCCTTGGGGGAGGAGTGGCGAACAGCGACGGCGAGCCCAAGGATGCGCAGACCAGTTTCGTTGGTCTTTTCGTAGTGCAGGCGATCATAGTCGTGGAAGCTGGTTACTTCGACCACGTCGTCGTCGCTTTCGTTACCGGGGCGGATTGTGTCTTGCGAGGTGTTGGGCTGTGGTAACGTGGCATCGGGTGAGTGACGGGCGACGCTGTTGTAGTCGTGGGCTTGGCGAGTTGTATCGTCGGGATCAGTTTGGTGTAGCGGAACGAAGGTTGGAGTCTGGAATGGGCTTGTAAGGGGGATGTTGGGTGCGCTGTCAAACTGAGTGACGTGTGCTGCAGCCTCATCTTCCGCCAGGTCAGCTTCATCGTGTGGAGTTGCGAAGCTGCGGTGTCCCTCGAAAACCCTTTCTGGTGCTGTGTCAGCTGCGCGGTGTTCGTTGAACGGTGGCAGAGTCAACTTTTTGTAGAAGATGCAGTCACGTTATTTCTTCACTTCGTGTGTCGCGTAGTCCAGCACGATCCACGCCTTGTATTCCTTTTCGATCCCGAGGTGGATGCCCCAGCGAGCTCGGTCAGTAAATTTTCCGGTCCGAGCTGTATGTGGCCTGTACTGTACCATGCATCCAAAGACCCGGAGCAAGCGAGTGTCCGCCTTTTTGCCCGTCCACGCTCGATGAGGGGAGTTGTTGTTCTCGAGACTTCGGGAAGACAGCAAGTTGTGCAGTCGGACTGCATGGTTCATGGCAAACGGCCAGTAGCACGTTGGGATGGCCGACTGCTTCATCAGGGCCCTCATCCTTGTGGCGAGGCTCCTGTTTGTCCGTTCTGCTACTCCTTGCTGCTCGTGAGCGTAGGGCAGGGACACCAGGTGTTCAATCCCTTTCTTCCGGAAGAGCTCGTTGAACTCGTCTGAGAAGAACTCCAGAGCTCCGTCCGTCTGCCAGCTCTTTAGTTTAAGTCCCGATTGCCGTTCAGCTCGCTTCATCCACGAGATGAAGCATTCAAAGGCGAGCGACCTGCAGTCCGTGTTGACAGCCCAGACGTGGCGAGTGCTCGCGTCGATGAAGGTCAGTGTGTAGAGTTCGCCGTCAAGACCCTCATGCGTCAGGCACATGAAGTCGCTGTAAACCTTGTCGTGCGGCTTGTATCGTTCGTAGCCGGGCGGCATGTCGGGGAAGGGCTTATGAGCGAGCGACGCGGTGGGGCACACGGTGCAGGACGGGTCAGCGGAGTCTGCGGTGAGGAATCCTCCTCGTGGGAGAAGCAGGGCTTCGTTGTCGAGAACTCCTGCCTTCAGAGAGTTCTTGAGAGTTGTATGCGAGGGATGCCCGAGCCGGTGATGCCATGTTTCCGGTTCCGCACGGTAACCCACTGTTTTCTGATAATACTTCTGTCTTGATGCTTCATCGTTTGCCTCCCCTTCAGGTCCGGTATCGGCGGCGTCGTCAGCATCGGTGACGAACGCGCGAATTGCCTTCCTTTCCAGAAGTGCGTGCAGGATGCTGATGATGTCATCGGTGTCGCCGGTGTCAACTTGGTCTCCAGTGACGAAAAGGCACTGATTTGGCCAGTCGCGAACTGGAAGGCCCTTCATGGGGATGCGGTAATAGCTGAACTCGGCTCCGATGACCTCAATTTCTTGTGGTCCTTGGACTGGTGGCTCTGCTTCCTCGGTAGGTCCTGGTAGCTCTGCTACTTCGCCGAAGAGTTCGTAAGTCACCTCCTGCTCCTCTGACTCTTCTTCCATTGGCTCTGGTGTGTCAGGGGCGTACTAATTTGGAAGAGGAGGGCCTCCCCAACTGGTGCTACGTGTTGCCCAGTAGGGATCGATCTCTGGTGGACGGCCTGCTGTCTTCTTCCATAGATGCAGGTTCGGTCTCAGCAGGTGCGGTGCGCGGTTGCATGGGGACGTCCGAGGCGAGTTGCTCGAGGTCCATTGCTATGGGATGAGTCCAGGTTGGAGCTTCTGCAGTTGTTGTTTTCAACAGCAGAGTGCGGTGGGAGACTCTTGAGGTGCCTTGAGCTGAGAGCTGCAGCACAAAGACTCCGTCGTTGTCCACGGCCTTGCCGATGTAAGTGTCGCCGTAGAAAAGTTCAAACGTCTTGTCCTTGCGGTTGCTTCGAATGTCGACTCCGCACCTCATGAGCTGAGCCGAAGAAAGCAGATTGTACCGCGGATCTGGAGCCACAAGCACGTCGCCGATGTGGATTGTGAAGTGCGTGTCGTCAGCCTTGAGAAGGATCTCACCGATGTCATATGCCTTACGTGTTCCATCGTTCGCCACTGTGATCTCGCAGGGTCGTCGCATGCGCCTGGAGTTGGAGATGAATGTTGGTGATCCCACCATGTGCTGTCCGCAACAGCTGTCCAGGTACCAGGTATTGATGTTCTCGCGGTTTTGCCTCGCGATGTTGGCGATTTTAGGCGTGACCACGCGATCTCTTTCGCCGGTGTATGGCGAGAGAGCGAAGTACCGGTTTGCCGCTATGCTAGGGGGCGATTCTGGTGTCGGCGGCGGCAGCTCGAAGTCAGGTGGGTGCCTTTGTGGTGAGTTGGTCCAGGAGGGAACAGAAGGATCGTTGTCCTGGCTTGGTGAGACAGGATTGATGGGGTCGTGGAGCGCGAATGTTACTCGGTCATAGTAACGGTATCCTCTGTTGCGGCGAGCCATGCAGCTCATGATTGTCCCTTTGCCCTTGTCCTTGGTCGTAATGCGTGCAGGTGTTTGCGAGATGCTTGCGACGGAGGGAGGCGAGATTGTCGGTGTTGCAGCGGAGGTTGAGGGAGCGGATGACTGATGATTAGAGGGGTTGTTTCGCCTTTCGTCGGCGGCTTTTCGCTTGTAGCATCGGTCGATAGTGTGACCGGGCTTCTTGCAGTACTTGCAGAATGTTCCCTTCTTCCCGTGCTGCTCCCCCCCTCCCTTCCCCCTGCTCCCCCCCTCCCTCCCCCCTGCTTCCCCCCTCCCTCCGCCTTGCTTCCCCCCTCCTTATGCCTTGCTCCCCCCCCCCCCCCCCCTTTTGCCCTGCTTCCCCTCTCCCTCCGCCCTGCTTCCCCCCTCCTTCTGCCATGCTTCCCCCATCCCTCTATTCTGCTTTCCCCCGCCCCCAAGTGAGTCTACGTTTTCCCCATGTGCCCCTCCTATCCCTCCCCATGTTCCCTTGATCTCACAATCTTTCCTGTCCCTCCCCATGTACCTCTCCTCTCCCACCCCATGTGCCTCTCCTCTCCCTCCCATGCAGCCCTCCTCTCTCGTGCACACCCTTTGCCTCTCCACTCCCTCCTGCTCCTGCTCCTTTCATCCCACCTGCCAGGAGCACTCAGGGAGTGAGAGTGAGAGCGTGGAGGAGGACGAGGAGGAAGCAAGGATGCGTCACACTCCTGCCCGTCGTGTGGCTGACGCTACTTGTCGAAGGCGCCCGTTCGCATCGCGTCGAGTTGCTTGTAAGGTCCTATTGCCCTCACTTTCCCCGTCTCCCTTGCTTTCCCCCGTTTCCCTCGCTAGCCCCGTCTCCCTCGCTTTTGTCAACGGGAGTGTTGTTAGGCCCCGTCCTTGCTTGGGCGGAGCCGACCTTGTGGTCGGATGTGCGGGGGTTGCAGCCGACCTGCAGCAGTGGGCACGGGGGCCACTGCAAGGGCGCCGAGCTGGAGGGCGCCTGGCTGGAGGGCGCCGAGCAGGAGGACGCCGTCCTGGACGCCTGGTTGGTGTCCTGCACGCTTGGACGGCGTCCTGGGAAGCTGGACGCCGACCTGGGCTTCGGTACGACTTCCCGGGCGCCTGGTCGACGTCGTGGGCGCCTGCTCGGCGTCCTGGGAGGCCAGACGCCGACCTGGGCGTCTGGTCGACGTCCTAGGAGGATGGACGCCGCCCTGGAGGTCTGCACGGCATCAGGGGTCTGGACGCCAACCTGGGGGTTCGGACGGCGTCCTGGGCGCCTGGACGCCGGACAAGGGACGCCGGGCATGGGTGGCCGGCTACGGACTGCGCTGGTCGACCAGGCGTGGTTGCCCGGTCGACCGGGATACCCGGGCGACGTGCGCGAGTGTCGCCGAGGTGAAGTCTGCGAGGTCGACCTCGGGGGTGGTATCCCGAGGTCGACGTGGCTGGTAGGCGCAGTCGCTGGCGTGGAGTCTGCCAGGCGTCTGCGCTGTGCTCGTGACAAGGTGTGGAGCGCCAACCAGCTGCGCGCACCTGTGAAGCAGGTGACCCGTTGTCCTGAGGGTGCAACGCTGTGCAGCCGACCTGCTGCAGCGTTGGCACACCATGGACTTGCAACGTTGGCACATCTTTACTCTGCAACGCTGGAGCGGTGCGAGCGTTGCTGCGCTGGAGCGCGGTCGACCGTGCTGCGCTGGAGGTCGACCAGCAGCCTAGCTAGCTCTGATGTAGTCTGTGTTGCCAATGTTGTTGGAACCATGGTTGTCAATCTTTGCTAGTGAAACTCTTGCAAAATCTCCCCGTTAATGTGCAAGCAGAGAACACACAAGCAAACGACTAAGGAACGCAGAGATCACACGAGCACCCGTGCCTAGCCCGTAGTCTAGCTCCCAATGCAGCAGTTATCTCCGCAGCTTTCCCCATCTCGCTCGCTTTCCCATCTTGCACAGTTGTCACCCTCCCTTCCCTCTTTCCAGTGATCACCCTTCTTGTTCCCACTTATACCCCTCCCTCCCACTGCTTACCTCTCTCCCACTGACCCCCATCCTCTTCCCAGCTCCCCCCCACCCTCTTCCCTGCTTCTCCCCATGCTCTTCCTTGAATCCCCCCAACTCCTGCCCTGCTTCCTTTCACCCTCCCCTCCAGCTTCCTTACCCCCCTGTCCCGCTTCCTCCCACCTTCTGCCCTGCTTTCCTCCAGGGCAGAAGCTCACTCCAGGTGAGCCAGGGGATCGATGGGTGAGAGCCGCATGGCAAGTCCCTCCTCTCCCTGCCCATGTGCCCCTCCTCTCCCTGCTTTGCATTTACTTTTCCTCTTTCCTGCTTCTGCTCCTCCCCTCCCACATCCCACCTGCCAGGAGGACGACCTAGAAGCCTCGCACCAGGGAGACGATAGCAAGGTGCGGGCGTCGAGTCTGCTGCGCTTCCTGGTGGACCTTCCCTTCCCCATCGCCTTCGCTTCCCCTGCTGTTGCCTACCCTCCTGGCGCCCTCCTCCCACCCTCCTTACTTCCCACCCTCACAACTCCCATTCTACACCAACAGCGCGATTACATTGCTTGCTGTGTGATTATCGCACGGGCGCATTCACATCTTCGCAGGTAGTGTAGTGATATATATTTGTTTGAGAATATTGAATCGGGCAGTGTTTTGTTATTGATATGTATATATTTGTTGCTTCTTTGTAATTGACATTATGCAGTTGCTGTCTTGCGGATAATTTGGGCATACCCTAAGCTTTGTGTTGTGTTATAATAATTTGTTCACATTTCAAACCGGAAACCAAATATGTTATTAGTGGGCTATGCATTTTGTATGAAATTTGTGATGATTCTATACCGCGCGAGAGTTTCGCCCCCACCAATTCCAACTATTCGCAAGGACGGAAGTGGTGGGGTGGAGCTAGCGGGGTTTTCAATCGCACGAAAAGTCGCTTCCACCCTCCTCTTTTCGATGATCGGGAACAGCTGTCACAACGTTGCTCCTTTGTGCCTGATTATTCGCCACCTGATTTCGCTTTCACCCCACGCAGATTCTCGAAATTCTTGATTTCAAGGTTTCGCCAACACTATTTCAACCTCACATAACTTGAAAAATTACCATGATGACCTCGGGTCGGAACGACTTCCACGATCTTCAACGATTTCATCACTGATTTTTGCTGGTCTGCGAACGGTGCAGAGACACAATGCATCGGTGTGTGCGTGAGTGCGTTAGTGCATTAGTGCGTACGTGCGTTAGTGCGCCTGTGCGTGCGTGCGTCAGTGCGTGCGTCAGTGCGTGCGTCATTATGTGCGTGCATCAGTGAGTGCAAGTGTGCGTGCATCGGGGCATGTGTGTGTGCGTCGGGGCATGCGTTTGTGCGTCAGTGCGAGCATCAGTCCGTGCGTGCATGCGTCAGTGCGTGCGTGCGTCAGTGCGTGCATCAGTACGTGCGTGCGTCAGCGCGTGCATCAGTGCGTGCGAGCGTCGGTGCGTGCATCATTGCGTGCGTGTGGACAGATTTCATAGGCAGCAGAATACACGTACGCGGGGACTCTCACCCTGTTGGTTCTTCAGCCTTGATTCCCCTTAATTCCCATCCTATCCCCCCGCACCCCCCCTAACCACCACTTTAGACCTACGGTCACTGTTCACAGGTAGCAGAATACACATAGGAGGAGAAAAGGTGAAGGAAGGTAAGGGACAGGTTGGGGAGAGGGGGAGGGAGGAAGATAGTTAGAAAGATGAGAGGGAGATGGGAGGGGGAGGGAGAGGAGAGAGTGAGCACAGGGAGGGACGATATATGCTGATATGCTGAAATGCCTTATCTGCCTGCTCAGAGGGAAGGTGATGAGTCAACGATAATCAGCTTATCTGCTCCCAAAAAAAATGATTCGAGTCTATAAGCAACAGTACTCTAAACGAACTTATATACGGCTCTTTTTTCCCCTAACCTTTTTCACCCTAAACTCTTTGGACGCATCAGCATAAGATAGTCACTATCTGGTCGTCCCTATTCGCCCATTTTCTCTTCCATTGTGCTCCCTGATCCTGTACTTGCCTCCCTTCCTTAAGTCGAAGTCTAATCGCCCTTATTCACCCATTCTCTCTTTCCCTTTCCCCCCTGACCATGTACCTGCCTCCATTATACCAGAATGCTGGATTCGAGTCTGTAAGCAACAGTACTCTAACCGCACTTATGTACAGTTCTTTCTTCCCCTAACCTTCTTCACCCTAAACTCTTTTGACGCATCAGCATGAGAGAATCACTATCTGGTCGTCCCTATTCGCCCATTCTCTCTTCCATTCTGCTCCCTTATCCTGTACTTGCCTCCCTTCCTCAAGTCGAAGTCTAATCGCCCTTATTCGCCCATTCTCTCTTTCCCTTTCCCCCCCGACCATCTACGTGCCTCCATTATCCCAGAATGCTGGAGACTGTCTGAACGAATTTCTCTTTTTAGGATTGCTGTGGCATTGCTATGATGTGATGTATCATTGTGTCACAGTGCGTGCGTCAGTGCGTGCGTGCGTCAACTGTATGTATGTTTCATTTGTGTTTTGTGCTAGCTGTCCATGTTGTCTTTCCCTTTTGCTATCTTTAACTGATGTTGCGTCTCTTATGCATTGCAAGGCCGTGAGTTTCAATCAGTGGAGGTGGTTAACAAGTGTTTTTTTTGGGTTGCGAATGTTGAGTGCAATACATGGTTTGCACGGCAACCTACCGCCTATTCGCCGACGGTAAAAGAAAATGGGGAGTTTTGTTTGAAGGTGATTTGTGGCGTGAGAAATGTAATTTCATTTTGCATTTTGTGTGTGTGCATTTTGTTTGTGTTATGTGCGCATTCGTCCTTGCATTTGGTGTGTTTCGTTTTCATTTGTAATTGCACTTTGTGTTTGTGCATTTTCAGTTTCGTGTTCAATGTTCTCATGATGCGCTCAAATGAGGCTCACATGATGCGCTCAAATGAAGCTCTCATGAAGCGCTCAAATGAGGCTCCCATGACGCGCTCAAATGAAGCTCAAATGAAAGCTCAAATGAAAGCTCTCATGAAGCTCCAATGAGCCTCAAATGAGCTTCCCATGAAAGTCCCATTTGTTTTTCATGTTTCATGCGTGTCCCATGCGAGCGGGTGGTGTACCATGGGGCGTTTCTATGGGGCTCGACACTTTGACTCGTCAAAGGGGGTGCTGTTGACTTTCGCGCTGGTCAAGCACGCAAAATCTTGACCGCGCGTGTGGTCCTGATTTCGCGTGTGGGCCCTGAGGGCCCGAGCGTGTGCTCGCGCACTGTTGCGAGCGTGGCAGGGCCCACGATCGCAACAGAACAGGGCGAATGATCGCCCTGTCCACGCGCAGTACAGCACGACCAGTTTGTCTGGTCGTGCATGATTGCGCGTCTGAGGGGTGCGCGTGTGTTTCGAGTGGGTGCTGTGGGATTCCGAAGGGTGCTCGGAATTTACAGTTGAAAAACTGTTTTTCGGAGTTGACTCACGGAACAAGAAATTGCGCACAAAAGTCACACCGCTTCGCGGAATGATTTCGACGCAGGTACAGAACGGTTATTCCGTTTTCTCAACGGTAAAAACCGTTTTACAACTGTTTGCTCGCATGAAATTCGTGAGTGCCAAATTGGAGCTACATTGGAACTCATGAGTGCACTCATTTGAGTCAGCAAGGTAATTCTCATATGTGGAATTTGAAGACAGGTATTTTCAAGAGGAGAATCAAGCCAAATTTGCAAGGAGTTGAGCAACCGTTTTCAAGTACAGCTTGGCGAATGTCCGAAATTCAGTTTTACAACTACTTTGCTGTTTCCCTATGCATGTGTGTTAGGCGAAATATAAAACATGTGCTTGTGCTTGATTGTGCTCAATCCTTTCTAGTGGAAATATTTTCTGAATCTCTTCGACGAGTTAAGTTGCTCTATCAACGTATTGACGTGAAGAGCTTTTCTGCACACGAGCCAATCCGTCGTCGAATGCTGCGCAACGAAGTTTGGGAAAGCTCTTGTACGCACGATAATTTTCATACTTAGGGAAATCCCTCTTCAAACACGGACCCTTGGATAGGGGCTGGTTCTACCAGGCACCCAAGAACCCTTGGAGGTGTTATAGTCACAATAGGCTTGAATGTGCCTAAAACGAAAGATAGAGAGCACAGACGGATTTCTGCACAGCGGCTTCAAACGTTGATAGCGTTCTGCTCACAGCTGCAAATGACTTGATTCAAATTGGATCTGAAGCGTCTTCACGTCGTCTACAATTAGCAATTTAGATTGCACGATTTGATGAAGAATTGACGACACAGCGTCGGTTTGAACGAACGGTACTATGGCAGCCACTATAGTCTTAGAACACAAGATAGGAAGAGTTACGAGTTGGGGATGACTCCCAGCTCCTACAAACCCCAAGAGCGAAATGTTACACTACACAAAGTAATGTAACTATCTTCAATATCTTGAGGTGTACCCTTTTGGCGAGCTTCGAAATCACTTGAGGCTTGACACCAAGGCTCGGGCTCTTCATCACAAACTCATCCTTGAGTTCTTGATGGGTCTGCTGCACACACCTGCGACACGCCGAACGTTCGACACAGGACAAAATAGAAACCGCGCACGACAAAATAGAAACCGCGCGCGAGACACAAACGACCGCGTAACACGCGTCTAGCGATAACTCGCTATTGACTCGACACACACACTCGACATCATGACTCAACATTCACACACAATTATGAGCATGAAATGTATATTATCCCATGCCCTCATACCATTCCATACACACACACATTCACGCACACGGACAACAAGCCGAGTGCAAACCGTAGGGTTGCACCACCAAACTCCCCCTCGGATTGTTGGCCTTAGGATATGTTGCTCTCTCAGTTCAGAGCCATCCCAGCCAGCTTGCAACACTTCCAATGCTGCTGCTCCACCAGCCTCTTGGTCATCATGTCAGCCGGCTGCCCCGTGGTCTTCACGTAGCGCAACTCAACTTCACCCGCGGTTACCATGCTCCTCGTCCAATGCCACTTCACCCTCATGTGCTTCGTGAGTCCATGCAACACAGGGTTCTTAGCAAGAGCAATGACACCCTGGCTGTCACAGTACAGTGGGGTAGGTCCTTGCTGCTCCTCCCCCAATTCAGCCAACAAACGCCGCTGCCACACAATCTCCCGTACGGCACGGAAGAGTGCCATGTACTCGGACTCCACCGAGCTCAAAGCTTGGTCAACCTGCTTCTTGCTCTCCCAAGCAGTTGGGCCTCTACCAGCACAGCATATGAAGCCTCCCATACTTGTCATGTCCTCTGGTTCTGATGCATATGAAGCATCCGAGTAGGCGGTGAGGAACAAACGCCCGGGTTCAACACCATCCGCGCCCTTTTGGCGCCTTTGTGCCGCCGCCGAGTATTGCAGCCCAACGGTCGGTGTTTGGCCAAGATACTTGGCCACCCTCATTCCAGATGCTACCTGCTCCTCATTAGGGCATTGCACAACCCTAGCCAGCTGCCCGGTAGCAAACGCGACGTCCGGTCGGGTGTTAACCGCCGCATACATGAGGCTGCCCACCAACGAGTGAAATCGGCGCCTCTCCTCTTCACCAACGCTCTCCTCCTCTGGTC